CCCCAAAACCCCAAAACCCCAAAACCCCAAAACCCCTCTGCTTTTAACGTTGATTGGATTCTTTGTAACTTTTATATTATTCATTAAAACATTATATGGGAGCTGCACATACAAGATAGATGAACACTAAGGCTGCCAACAACCTTGCCAAGGTCACCTTTGTACTTGGTGGCCCAGAATGTGGCAAAGGTACCCAGTGCCAGCTCTTAGCTGAGAGATATCAGTATGTGCACCTTCTCTTGGGCAATATCTTTTGTCAGGCTTTTGTGATTCATGTCGATTCTAGTTTCTAGGATATTGTGGGGATGCAATTATACTTTTAGAAAAGAAAGTTTAAACAATGTTATAGGTTCGTTCACCTTTCTACAGGTGACTTGTTGAGAGAGGAACAAACCACAGATCCAGAGGACTCGAAGCTAATCAATGATCATATCAAAGAAGGAAAGATCGTCCCTGTCGAGATCACTTGTAGATTATTGCTCAAGACAATGCAGAAGATCGGGATGAATAAAAGATTTTTAATCGACGGTTTCCCAAGGAACGAGGATAACCTTTTTGGGTGACAAAAAGATACGGAAGACTTTGCTAATGTAAATCAAGTCATCTTCTTTGAACTTCCAGGAAAAGATATGCTTAAAGAATCATACATAAAGCTAAGACTAGAGGAAGAGCAATTGATAATGTTGAAGCAGTTCGAAAGAGATTTGTTACTTTAAGCACAGAGACAATGAAAGTGATTGATTGTTTCTATGAAAAGAACATTGTCAATAAGGTAGACGCGACCGGGGCATCGAAGAAATATATACTGACCTTAAAGAAGGTTTGGTTCTTTAAATCCATGGCATCAGCCATTCTTGGTATTCATTAAACCTTAAGAAATATTGATGAGCATTAAAGAAATTTTATCATAAAATATCTGTAGTTAGTTGGCACTAATCCTGCAAAAAAGGCCAAAATATTGATGTAAGTTATGCAAAATAAATGATCTAACAAGTAGATTATCAAACATCAAGATTATTCTCCTAAAAATTTATAAAATCTGGTCTAGAACCATCGAGTTTACCAACTTACACTACATAATATTAGCACATCCTCTTCATAAGATTGATTAATTTGTTGTTATAATTCTAGGTATCTAGCTTTAAAAAAGATCTTTTTAACAAATTAACAAATTCCTTACCACAGAAAACCTACCTCACAGAGATATTAAAAATAGGACTCAATACCAATGTAGCAGTAAGTTAGCTATGCTAAAATAAGATCTCAACCGGACTCTTGGATACATAAAAGGTTCCTCAACTTCTGCTCTACTTCCGTCTCTTAACCATTGAGAGCAGACTTTCTGGCTCCATTCCATTAAATCTTATTTTCTGATCCAGAAACGAAAAGGATATTTCGAGGGCATTAGGACGCAACAAATTATGAAATTTGGAGGATTGGGTAAAGGCAGAAATGTACAGAGAAGGGAAAGGAGAATATTAATAATTTAGGTTAAGTTTGAATATTCAGCATATATTTTTACACAAGGGGTTTTGGGGTTTTGGGGTTTTGGGGTTTTGGGGTTTTGGGG